TTAATTTTAATTTTTTAATTTTAATTTTTTATATTTAATGTCTTATCTTTTGATTTCTTCATATTTTTACTGTTTGGGATGGGATGGCATGCGATGGCATGGGATGGGATGGGATGGGATGGGATGCGGTGCGATGGGATGGCATGGCATGGCATGGCATGGGATGGCATGTGATGGCATGAAATTGGGATGGGATATGGGATGGGATAGGATGCGGTGGGATGGGATGGGATGCATGGATAGATAAATAGTTAGATTTTTGGGTATTTTCCTTTCAACCAAGCGGTTACCAACTGAGTACTCGGTCACCGGGTATCCCGCATGTACATATATATCACAGTCTCACTTCCTTGCTCATTCTTACCAAACTAAGTTAATGAAGATATTGATTATGAAATGCTTTTCGATTTTTCTTTACAGACGATGATGAATGCAGTGCTTCACCTGGACCATGTGATGCTAATGCTGCGTGTGCCAACACTCCTGGAAGTTTTATCTGTACATGCAACACTGGCTACAGTGGAGATGGATTGATTTGTACTGGTAAGCACTTACATATATATCACAGTCTCACTTTCTTGTTCATTATTATCAAAGTAAGTTAATGAAGATATTGATTATGAAATGCTTTTTTGATTTTCTTTACAGACGATGATGAATGCAGTGCTTCATCTGGACGACCATGTGATGATAATGCTGCGTGTGCCAACACTCCTGGAAGTTTCACCTGTACATGCAACACTGGCTACAGTGGAGATGGATTGACTTGTACTGGTAAGCACTTACATATATCACAGTCTCACTTCCTTGCTCATTCTTACCAAACTAAGTTAATGAAGATATTGATTATGAAATGCTTTTTCGATTTTTCTTTACAGACGATGATGAATGCAGTGCTTCACCTGGACCATGTGATTCTAATGCGGTGTGTGCCAACACTCCTGGAAGTTTCACCTGTACATGCAACACTGGCTACAGTGGAGATGGATTGACTTGTACTGGTAAGCACTTACATATATTCTCACTTCCTTGCTCATTATTACCAAACTAAGTTAATGAAGATATTGATTATGAAATGCTTTTTCAATTTTCTTTACAGACGATGATGAATGCAGTGCTTCACCTGGACCATGTGATGCTAATGCTGCGTGTGCCAACACTCCTGGAAGTTTCACCTGTACATGCAACACTGGCTACAGTGGAGATGGATTGACTTGTACTGGTAAGCACTTACATTTATCACAATTTTCACTTCCTTGCTCATTATTACCAAACTAAGTTAATGAAGATATTGATTATGAAATTCTTTTTCTATTTTCTTTACAGACGATGATGAATGCAGTTTTTCACCTGGACCATGTGATGATAATGCTGCGTGTACCAACACTCCTGGAAGTTTCACATGTGCATGCAACATTGGCTACAGTGGAGATGGATTGACTTGTACTGGTAAGCACTTATATATATATCACAATCTCACTTCCTTACTCATTATTACCAAACTAAGTTAATGAAGATATTGATTATGAAATGCTTTTTCGATTTTCTTTACAGACGTGGACCGATGTGATGCTAATGGCTGCGTGTGCAACACTCCTGGACGTTTCACCTGTACATGCAAACCACTGGCTACAGTGGAGATGGATTGACCTTGTACTGTATATAGCACTTACATATAATCACAATACTATGCACTCTCGCTTGCTCATTACTCGACAACTTATTTTAACTGTAGAAGGTGTTGGCATATGCAAATTCTTTTTCTA